CCTGCTGGCCTCTGTGGCAGCTCCACGATAGCCACCACCAAACATTTAGAGTTATTTTTACACATCGGCCACCACCTTTCATTGTTTATACCGTTACAAAAACAAGAAAAAAAAAAATCATCGGCCCATAAAAACGAAAAATCACCATGCGTGCCCAGGGTTGCCACACCCTGATACATACACAGATAGATAGATAGATAGATAGATAGATAGATAGATAGATAGATAGATAGACAGATAGACAGATAGATAGATAGATAGATAGATAGATACATAGATAGATAGATAGATAGATAGATACATAGATAGATATGAATTCAAATGAGTTTCTTTGTGTTTCTGCAGACATGGAGCAGAAGATCCAGCAGCTGCTTCACAGAAGAAACCAGAAAGCTGCTGAAGTGTCCGACCTGCTGGAGACGGCTGAGACAATTCGACAGGAAATCTCCACTCAAGTATACACTGAGTGTACTGGATAAATATACTGTGATACTGCTGATATATACCAGTGAGTACTGCAAACAGCAGTGCTGCCTAGAATCAGCTGTAGCTGAATTTAATCAGAATCTTATTCACTGTTTTTTACCTTTTTTTTCCCTTTGTTTCAAGTTTTCAAACTTTTTAAAGTTTTTCTGATGAGGTTTTGAGTTGTTTTTAAATACAGTATGTTACAATACAACTGAAGACATGCCTTTAGAAATATGACGACAGAAAACTACACAGATGAACATTTTTCAATTATTTTGTAATAAACTCTTAATCAAATAGCTTCATGCCTTATATGACAGAAATGTCCAATTAAAACTTTATGGACAAAACAAATATTAAGACTTGTTATATTTATGTTTGGATTTGGTTTAAATCAGTAAATCTGACAGACACAAATGCCTGAGTGATGCAGGAGTCTCTCTCCATTATCTCTGGGGAAGTTGAGAACAATCCATTACCTTTCCTCTCCTACAGTTACTCGTTGATGTAGTCACCTATGTAAGATCAACTTTTTAGAGCACTGAACTCCTCCTGCTGTTCCTTTCTGATAATAACTGTAACACATTTCTCAACCATTCTGAGAAAAAAGGCGATTGACATGAAAGATGGTCCTCAGTAGTGTGAGTCATTTATTCCCTTTGCTCCAATTGCACTCAATGACTTAACTACAGTAATGAGTAAAATGAATTTTGTGTGATTGACCAAGAAAACTTACATAATGGGCTAAAAGGTTTGCCTGGTGTCTCCTGTTAGACTGGGTTTGTTTCTACTGGTGGGACCTCTCACACTGCATCTCTAACCTGTAGGGTTCCACAAGGTTCAGTTCTGAGTCCATTATTTTCTTTCTGCTTTCTGCT